TCTATTGATTTTGATTTTGCTCTTTTCCTCCCAGACTTGTCTGGCCATGTCTGACCCTTTTTGTGGGTCCCGGCCAGAAGGTGCTTTAGTCTTGTGGCGGCTTTCAGGCCTTGCTTGAACTAATCCCCTTTGGGTTGACTTTTGCCCATGAGGGGATGGGTCACTTCAGGTGTTTGATTTAGAAGTTATATTCTTTGTGTTCCGTATTGTATATTCATTGTTATCAAAGTCCCTTTCAATTAAAGTTTTATATGTTTTGTCTTGTTGCAGCAGATGGCAGAACCCACTTAGAGCAGGCAGGTTTTGGGGCTTCAGGGGTGCCCCTCTCTCCATGCCCTGTAACAGATTTGCTGTCCTCTAACACACCACCTCTTTCACACACCCTCCCAACACCCCACGTGTTTCCCCCCAATCCCTGCCCCATCCTCACTCACACATTGCCCTCCTTGACCAGTTGAGACTCTTCCCTGTCCTGCCAGCAGGTTTCTTCCTGCCCTGTGTGGGTGGAGGAGTGATGGCATATCACTGCCAATGAGAGAGGGGAGGAAAATCAGGTCAGCTCTAGGCTTGGGGGTGGCCCGCTAAACTGGCTGAGCCCCTCAAAGTTGGTGGACCACCAGCTGTCACAGCTTGGTCATTCTTGGGTGGGGTTTCTTGAAAGTCAACTCAGGGGCCCTCCCTGGCAGCAGAAGCCCAGTGAAGAGCTGTGAAGCTAACCTCAGCCACTGCAGCCCGACACGCTCGGGGCGGCAGACCTCTGCTGTCTTGCCCCAATCTGCCTGTTCTGCTCCCCACTCTGTCTCTGGTGAATCCTTTCACCCCCCACACCTCTGGCCTGTACCCCAGTTCTTGTATGGAGAAGTAAAGAAATCTTTACAAAATGATAATAAAGTCAAAAGGAAAACAAGCAAAAGAAAAAATGTCACCGGCCTCCAGCTCCTTCACTGACTTTCCCGACTTTCGACTATGACCTAATCCCTGGCACCATCCTGGGCCTCCAGGCTAAGGTGACGGTTACTCCTCCGCTACATTCCGTCACGCTGTGCCATGCAGTCACCAGTGCTTCCCTCTTGCACCATAAACCTTCCCAGCCCCACCCGCCTGTCCTCCCCTCGCCACTCCACACCATCCCTGGGCCCCCCAGCTCTCTGTCTCCATGCACTCTGCTCCCCCACACCCTTCAAATATGTGAGGCCCCATCGTGCTTCCCCTCCTCCCTCCACGTGTGCAAACCGCCCCTTACAGAGTCTACCAGCACCAAAGGTCTCCTCACACTCCATCACCACCTCGCTCGCTCGCTCGCTCGCACACAGGTGAGCTGTGGAGGGTGACAGCCTCCCAGCCAAGACTCCCAGCCAACAGGGGTAGGGTTTCCAGGCAGTGACCTCAGGAGCATAGGGGTGTGACCCAGCAGCAGACCAGGGTGAGGCAGCTGGACCACAGATTATCAGGGAGCTGTTCCCACGAGACCGCCTCATGCAGACAGGAAGGCAGTGTGGGAGATACCTGTGTGGCTGCTGAGTCCCCAGAGGCAAGGCTCATCTACTCATGCTCAGGTCTCTCCCCTGGTCAGCACCCAGAGAATGTGCCTGAGCCTTTGGTGAACGCAGTTTCTCAAACACAACCACAAGGGAGTCCTATACACTGTCTCCCACTGCCCTCTCTTCTCCCTTCCCAACTCACAGCTCTCCTTCAGCTGAGAACATTCTACACTTGGTGTGGAGGATCACCTGGCAGCCCCATCCCCTCCCAGCCCCCCAGCCCCAACCTCAACATTATCCCCACCCCCCACCCCACCCCCAGTCCTCTGTGGTTCCAGGACTCAGTGATTATCAGTGACCAGACCAAGAAAGACTTTACCCCAGTGACAGAATCTTCAGGAAGAAGCTAGTTTAATCCCAGCAATGATTGAAGCTCTGTAATTATTTATGAAGATTTTATTTATTTGTGGATACAGAACTGGGGTAAGGGCCAGAGGTGCAGGGTGGGGAGAGGATTCACCAGAGACAGATGGATGAAGCACACTGCTGAGGGGAGCAGCGGGCGGGTCAGGAGAGGTCTGCCGCGCCCTGTGGTCAGTTCCCTGGCCAGGGATCGAACTCATACTGCAGTGGCTGTAGATAGCTCCACAGTGCTGAGACGTAGCCCCTTGTGCCACCAGGGAGGCCCAGAAACTCATCTCTTCTATGCAGTGGGGATAAGAACACTAGAGTTGGGGGCATTTCTGCTTCCCCCAGGGGACCCAGAGGCAAGCCCTTGTGCCCCTCAAGTCGGGCTGAAGGAAACATCCACTGACCTTCTCCCAGGGCTGTCTGGGTCTGGGACTGAGAGTTGACAGTGAGGTTGAAACACAGAGAGTGAGCGTCTGTGAGAGACGCTCAGGTGAGGCCTGGGGACGGGCAGGGCCGGCTGCAGAGGGAGAAGTCTCCCTCCTGCCCCCCCACCCCCATCTCCCCTTGGCCTCCCTGGGGCTTACTCAGGTACTCTGAAGCTACCATGGGCCTTGGGGTGTAATGCTGTAGCCAGGAGGGTGCCTGTGATAAATATCTTTGTGACATTTCCTAGTTCTGAGGTACAGAAAGCACGAAACACTGTCTGTCCCCCTGAGACTTAAAATCAAACACAGCAGACAGGATTTTCAACATTAAGAAAGACACCTGAGGACACATGGCAAATTCATGATGGGTCCTGGGTTTCAGAACAGGCTTCTTGGAGGAGGAGCGACGTGGGAGGAGAGAGAGCGGCCTCCTTTGAGGACAGCACCAGGGAAGCTGCCTTACTGGAATTGGGGTTCTGGAAAACTGCCTGGAAATAGCGGCCCAGTCACGCTCACCCTCCTTAAGAGACGGGGGCAGGCGCCACCTAGTGAACAAATTATGCCTCTACCCACGTTGCACTCTAAGTCTAAGTTGAGGCAAAAGAAAACCCAGGTGTCAGCTGCCGGGACCTTCCTGCAGAGAAACCAGCGCGGATGATTGTGTGGGCATGGTTCATAGTCGTCACTCCCAGGGCCCACTCTGGTGGCACAACGGGTTAAAGTGCAGCACTATGAAGCCAGGGCAGCCGCTTCAGCTCGAGTTCAATCCCCAATACCCACCCTGGAGCTGACCCACATAGTGGTGGCAGACCTCTCCTGTCTGGCCTGCTGCTCCCCTCAGCAGTGGACTTCCTCAGTCGGCCTGTTCTGCTCCCCACTGTCTCTGGTGACGCCTCTCACTGTTCCTGCACCTCTGGCCTGTACCCCAGGTCTGTATGCATAAATAAATAAATCTTTAAAAAAAAATAAAGTCATGACTCCCAGGTGACAGACAAACCCCCCCAAAGGAATGATATAATGTTCTTGGATTAGCCTCACTCTGCTCTCCTCAAAACCCTTGCGGTGTGAGCAGGGTAGTTGGAGGGTGCGAGAGAGCTTCTCCTCTTCTGTTTTCCACCAACTTCCCCTCCTGGCTCCCTGCTTAGCTTCTACCCACCCCCACCACCCCACCTTTTTTTTTTTTAAAGATTTATTCATTCATATAGAAATGGGGTACAGGCGAGAGGTACAGGGGTTGTGAGAGGATTCACCAGGGACAGAGTGGGGAGCAGATCAACGAAGTACACTGCTAAGGGGAGCAGCAGGCGGGTCAGTAGAGGTCTGCTGCACCACGTGAGCCACCTGGGGGGGGGGGAGGGAATCAAACTCATGCTTAAGTGGCTTTAGCTTCTTAGTGCTGTGCTTTAACCCGCTGCGCCACCAGGGAGGGCCAGGTGTGATTTTTAACGCAATCTTCCCCGCATCGGTAGAGTTATCTCATCCATCTAACTTAGTCAGCCCCAGCTGTGAACAAATTGAGGAAATACTGAAAAGCACTCAGGAATTTGTTTGAAGGTGATAGGATTTACACTTCAGGAGACACAGCAGCAATATACACCAGAACTGCGCCCCGCAAAGGGCGCTGGCCGGCTTCTAGTAGTAGGATTAGATCAGCTGGGGGCGCTTCCCCAGAAAACACACCCGCGAGAGGTCTAACAGGCAGTCTCCCCGGTGTGGCCTAACAGGCAGTCTCCCCGGTGTGGCGAGCAGTCTTGAGCGATGCTGACTCTCGAGCGATGCTGACTCTCGAGGGGCAGCGCGCTGCAGGCTGTTCAGTGCTGAGGCTCCGGCGGCCAGTCGTGGACCGCCAAGCTACGTGCCAGGCTCCCAGGATACTTGTTTATGCTTCTGTTTCTATTAGACATACAGAACTTGAACTCCTTCGCCGAAAATAAAGTCTCAGTGACGGTGCAACAAAGTGTTGATTAGATAATCAAAGTGAGAATTTGCACTGGGCAACGGTTCAACAGATTGGCTGAGTGCCAGTCTAATCAGCACAGCTGAGATTACACTGGCAGGGGACTGAGTCATTGATGAAGGGGAGCGGGGAGGAGCAAACAGGAATGGGAGAAGCAACTGTCCAAAGGAAAAGTCTAAATCATCAGGCAACTACAGGGCAGAGACTTTCTGTAGGGAGGAGGCGGGAGAAGGACAGGGACAGGGTGGGAAGAGCGAGGGACTGTGGTGATGGTGCCAGGGTGAACTGGCGGTGGGAATTTCACGGGGATCATACATTGTACAAAAATGTGTGTGTGTGTGTGTGTGTGTCCTTAGCTTCTGAAAGGGGTCGAGTATTTTCTACAAGTGTTGTAAATCACAGGAAGAGAAACACCCCGCTTATATTAGCTCCTGGAGTTTGGAATAGAGTCCAATGTTCCCAAACATGTATCAAACGTTGATGTTTTTACCCCAGAATCTTCAGTAGGTTTGAAACTGGACTCAAAATGGATCGATGAGGATAGCCTGGGGGAAATGCTTTTAGGAGCACACCTGCCTGGGTGTGTGGGAAGAGGGTAGAAGGGTGTTTAGTTCAGCCAGTCCAGACCCGGTAATGGGCTTGAGGGGAAGAACCACCTGGTGTCTCTGCAAACTCGGGTCACCCTGGGTGTGGTGCAGGCCCAGGCACAGCACCCGGCAGTCACACCGTGTGGCTTCAGCTCCCACAAGCCACAGGAGCCCACAGGCATGTGCACCTGGCAGCTTCCCCTTCGGGTGACATAACGGTCCACATGTTCCTCCAGAACCTCCAGGCTCAGGGACACATGAGTCTTCTCCCTCTGTGATGCGAACTTACAGCGTGCAGGGTACCTCTTTGGGGGTTCGTGGTATTGATGATTTCTCAGATGGTCAAGGATACTGAGCATCGTTTCATGTGCTGTTTCCCATTTGTATAGTTTTTTTGTTTTGTTTTGTGTTGTTTTAAGATGTATTTGTGCTTTCAAGAAATGGGTACAGGCCAGAGGTGCAGGGGTGAGAGGAGTCACCAGAGACAGACCGGAGAGAACAGGCAGGCTGACTGAAACACACTGCTGAGGGGAGCTGTGGGCGAGACAGGAGAGGTCTGCTGCACCGTGTGGGTCAGCTCCCCCATTTAGGTCAGCTCCCTGGCCGGGGATGGAACTCACGCTGCTATGGCTGCCAACAGCTTCATAGCGCTGCTCTTTAACCCCCTGCACCAGCGGAGAGGGCCCCGTTTGTATAGTTCTCTAGAGAAATGTCTATTCAACTCCTTGGCTCATTTATAAAAAGTGAGTTATGCATCATTTTATTGTTGAGTGTAATCTCTCGATCCTGGATACCAGGCCCTTCCCCCCATTCAGAGGCTGCCTTTAAAATGTCCTCATGGTTTGTGAAACACCAGATACTTAGATTTTGATGAGTCATACTAATCTGTTTTTTCTTTTGTCATTTGTGCTATTGATGTATTGAAGAAGGACCTGCCAGGCAAGGACACAAAGACTTTTCTTCTAAGACTTAACTTTATCTCGTATGTCTCTATGAGCTGGCAGATATGGTTGTATGCCTATAACAGGCAGGTATTTCTTGCCCTATGAAAAGGAGATACTTTCAGCCTCGGAGGGTGCGCATTTGAACAACAGATGATGCAGTCTGAGTTAATGGTGTAAACAGTAGTAGAATATGCAGTTCCCAAATTTCCTGTACAGACCAGGAGGTAAAACTAGACAGTAATAATAGAAAAGGGGTGGGGGAGGGGGGATAGCCAAATATTTCTTGTCCTTCATGAAGAGGAGATACTGTTCAGCTTTGGAGGGTCCATTTGAACCACTTGAAGGCTGTTAGCCCTGCAGTCCGGAGTGGCCCACTTGGGACGGGGGCTCTTGCACGTGTGTGAGCCTTACTCCCACAGCTCTGGTCGCTCTAAGGTGCCCTGGAAGCACCAGAAGGATTCCTTTCCATGCCAGGCCTCAGAGAGCCTAAGAGGCTTGTTAATGCATAAGTGTAATCTTTGCTAAAAATGGCTCCTGAAGGTATCATGAAACCATCTAGAGACTAGATGTCTAATTAGTAGCAATGAAAACATACATGGTATGATGTCATATTAACTGACGATGATAAAGGATTCCGAAGCTTGTTAACACATTGCATGATTTCATAGGGCTTCCACAAAGTTTTTAGGTTATTAGATGAGCCTCCTGCCTTTGGATGGTGAGGAGACATCGATGCATAAGACTAGTTCAGGAGAGCACTGGAAACTCAAGGAGGGAGAGGTGGCACAGGTCAGCTCTTCCAGAGCCACTCCCTTCACGTGCCCCAGCGCCCCAGTGAGCTTCCTCTGGAGCTGGGTGGTAAGGCCTTTTGACAAAGGCTGTAGTTAAGCACAGGGTGGTTTTCACAATGGCCTTGTGATAAGGTATCAGAAAGCCTAGCAGGCCCTGACTGGTGTGGGAGCAGTGATAGGACCAGACCAGACTCACTCTTCCAGGGTAGGTGAAAAATCTAGATTGAACAGGAGCCAGCAGGTCATGCAGGACCTGAGAAGGGAAGAAAAGACCTGAGCTCACTGACTCCCAGAAGTGCCAGCCTGGCAGTCTTTCTGAGCTGAGAAGTCAAAGCAGAGAATCCAGGGAGCCCAAGGTGCTAGAAATCCTGGGAGGGAAACTGGACACTGAGTCAGAGTGGGGCAAGTGTTGCCCTCCTCTTCCCTGAAAGAGGCCTCAGCAGCGGCACCTGGAGAGGTGAAGCCCAGGGCCTCAGAAAAAGACACCTGGAAATACAGGCACCTGGGTTAGCAATGTACTGGTCAGGGCCCTGCCTGGTGACTCAGCGAGTTAGAACAGCACTGTAAGCTGGCCACAGCCGCTTCAGAGCCAGTTTGATCCCTGGGCCCGGAGGTGGCCCAAAGAGCCCAGCAGACCTCTCCTGACC